TCTCTCTCCGTGGCGCGGCTGGCGCTGTTATGCGCCCTGTTCGCTCAGCCAACAAACAGTAACAAATCACCAACAATATTTTCAGCCATGGCTTACCAGCCAGACGATCAGGGCTGTGCCAGGCGTCGTGCCAAGCCTCGGAGCTTTTGCTGGCCTCACGAGTCCATTCTGCTCCGGAAAATGGCAGGATGTAAAGTGCATTATCACTTTACCAGTGTCACTGCGTCAGCCTCAAGAATCTGAAGTGTTCCTGATTCCTCAACCATTCAGATGAAGATAGCTTGAGAAGTTTTTTCGATAACAGCGGCCCTACAATGCAACTCCAAATCGGACGAATTTACCTGAACCGCTTAAATTCTTCGTTCCAAACTACGTGGTAACAAATACAATTACCACTTATCAGTTACCAGAGGTAACGTTAGTATTGACCACAACCGATGACAAGTCTGCAACTGGCCAAATATACAGGCAGCAGCAGTTACAATATATACAGTCATATACATACACGAACCAACATCATCATAGCACTACCATTAGCACAACCACCACAACTGTACAAATCTAATTTTATGACGAAGGCATCGATAATGATCTCAGCAATGGGCTGGAATTATTGATGCAAGAATATTTTATCAGTATCGCCTTCATTCAGCAGGGATATCAGAGCTCTGGCCTGAAAATTTACGGGGATGTCAGAATCGAATGAAGGTGAAAATTGCAACAACCCATCTGCAAGCTAAGGGGGCTTTCAAATACCCACCTGCATCACAATTCTTTATCGTGTCTCATAAAAAATCCTTTATCGTGTAATGCCTGTAAGTTTATACGTTTTTATTGTGTTTTATATGTTTTTAAATACCCTGTATGCACGTCGACGAAGAATCAATATATATAGTTATCACATAGTCTCACTACTGAATTGCCTTATCCCCAACAAGAATTCCAAAATGTTTTTGTAGGCTTTGGAGCATCTACCGACTACATTTTTTCTGAGTTTGGGTTCCATCATTGTCATTTATAATTCTCCCAGTTGAGAAAGCTTTAGCAAAAGTATTAATGTGAGAAACATATCTAGCACCTCTTCATGGTATGTGGGACAACACGGGCAAGGGCCATGCTAGAGGCCAAAGATTAATTATACCGGCTTTTCAACAGTCACGAGAGGGGAATATGAAGACAGATCAAAATTGCAGGTGCTAGAATCTAACGATTGAGATGTACGTGGGGTTCCCACCCTAACTTGCAAGTGGGATCCCAATTTCCCTTGAATAAATCATAAAACATATTAAAAGAGCAGTCAAACACAAACAGAAACCCACGGAAAAAAATATTACATTTTCTAAAACCATTGACTTAGGAATAAGGATAATTTTATTTACCGTGATGAATTAAACTAAAACACTGCAACCAATATTAACCTAAGGAAAGAAAATACTATATGTCTGGCATGAGAATTATAATCAGTAACTTTCCAGCTGAATACTGATAGCAAATAGAAAAAAAAATAGGTTGCAATTGTTGATCCAATCCATCCAATAGTAATAGAGGCACGATAAATATGTTTTCCTTTCTCTAGGATCGAGATTCAAGAAAAATCCTGCCAGTGTCAAATATATGTGAAGTTACATACCTTTCTCTGGGTTAGGGGAAGTTATTGGACGACCTTCACCTATGCTAGAACTATCTTCATTCCTGTAAGAAATTCATCCACAGCAGAAAGTAACGCACAAACCTTTGTATATGCACTTGTTCTAAAAATATTATTATCGTACTATGTCACATCAGAGCTACCATTCATGACTGGAACATTTTACCTTGACCATAATGTATACCTGGATGGACAATGTAAGATATATGTAGCTAGATTTATCATAAGTTCTTCCAAAATATCGAATTAACTTTCTCTGAAATCGCATATTTTCATAGAAATTGTTGGTTAAAGCTTCACACTGTACAAAGTGTTGATGTCCTAAATGAGACACGTATTTTGATCGAAGGGAGTAGTAAATTACCCTTGATTGTTCCGTTGATCACTTGTAGCAGTCACCGTTGTTAAGATAGTCTCCACAGATAAACTGCCAGCGTTCTCTGTGTCCTAGAGTATAACATGCATACACTGTTAACCTTTAAGCACTCTTCTCCAATCAAAGAAGCAGAAAATACGTGTACGGAAACCAAAGTCTACATTTCAAGGGTAGCATATAATAATAAATTACCAAGGTTTCACTCCTCATCCACCCTGGAATTGTTTCTGATAAAAGATTCATGTATTTTTCCATAGCAATCTCAGGGTTCAGATTCCCTAACTTCTGCCAAGCAGCCCTGAGAAAACAATAAATGATCATTGGTAGTAATCATTATGTATTACCACTCTTTGTGCGTATCTTTACAGAATATCTAGGCACAGATCAAACCTAGCAGATAATTTCTACAATGTACTATTTCACCATTTCTTTTATGCTTTAAGACACTCAGAATGGTGACAACTGACAACATATGTCCAAAAAATAGAAGGATTGCCAAATTTTTTCTCTTATAGGATATCTCATGTCTTTCCTTAACTCTATTTCAGACTTCTATATTCCCTGGATTGTTGGGAATAAAAACACATACACATAGCCATTATACACTCATTGCAAGGTTAACTCTAGCTCTACTTGTGGGCATACAAAAATATAATCAGTGGAACATTGACAGCTCCCAAGACATAAAGAGATACACATCAGTCTACCAGAAATAGGCGCAAGATATCTGTCATGTTACATCATGTAGACCGATTAGGTATGTTGAATTTTTTATTCGATACTTCTGACCATCAGTCCATATTTTATAGCACATATATTATTCTTCTCACTCCAAGGGATAACTTCGGTAGTAAGATGTATAACAGGTTGGTTGGAGCCACTTAATTGGTCCAACAAAAAATAAGAATTGGAAATAAGAGAAGCTGTATTGGTGTCCATGTGCAAAACATATTAGTGCATCTTTCTATGCTCGTTGCTCCAGTTCGGTGGCTCATAGCAGAATTTTCTGACATGTCACAACAACAATCCATTATGAACTCTGAAGCAAACCAACAGTTAGTGGTTTCTTTGACCAAGATGTCTTATTTTTTCCCCTCTAAATGCTATGCTACCTTTGGCAAAAAAAAAAAAAAAGGTGGTACTGTACAGATTGCTCATAAAGTGATGATTAGCTGGATAAAGCATATCTAAATATAGTGCTCTCATACACAATAATTGGCACAGGATATTATCTGGAGTGGCCTCAGAATTCGGCTGGACAAAAACTATTGCAAAACCAGAACAAGGTGCCGCATCAAACAACAACCCTATCTTGAAATGGAATGCGTCACATCAAAACATTGCAAGCTCAATATAGAGAAGCATGTTTATATGGACAAACAAGCTTTAACATGTTGATGACACACTGAAGAGATGACTGCTGGGGTAACTGGATGGGAGGCTTTACCTTGGTTACCTATTATATGCAAACTCGTATAGGGACAATTTTTTCCCCGACTACTTAAAGGGCAAAACTTGCTCAGACAGAGGTTGGCAGTGACTAGTTGCTGTCAATTATGCCTAAACTAAACAAATCAACACAATTCAGTTGATTCAGGATTGTAATTTCACCCAATCATTGCACCAGATCCACCTACATGATTTTGACTTCTATATTTTGTTTTTACATTTTATTCATTACACTTACCTTCATTAAGTAGTTTATTGGAAATTCAAAACATTATCCTATGAACCATGCAGCATCATGGACAAATATTTTTTAAGACAAGAGACATTCAAAATTTAAAAGGTACTACCATGACCAAATTTGAGAAGGAAGCGTGGATTCTCGTTGTCTCATGCAGGGAAGTGCAATATTCTCTTTGCCACAAAGGAGGCAAGGTATATATAGCTCCAACTTTATATGCTTCCTTTGCTCTTCTGTAAAGGAGCTATATGCTTCTCTGAAGCTGATGAACCCAATTTCAAGAACCAAGAAAAAAAGAGGAAACCCAAAACTTGAAGCGCAGAATTGTCATAAATCCTATTCCAACCAGATACCCCAAGCTCTTAAACATAGACGCCGCATAACCTAATCATGTCAAATTATACATATCACAGCTTTCGTATTGGCATAAACCTCACATCTGATGAAATCAATAGTCAATAACACTCCAAAATGCAAGTCCTTCAGACAAAAATGATATTGCACTTATTCATTTCAGGCTTACTTCAGTAAACATGATTTATCAGCAATGGAAACAGATCAATTGCTATTTACTTCAGTAAGCTTCAGTGATTTGAACTTGTTTCCTCAGCTTAGCATCTGGTGGCTTATAAGCAGAAAGCCAGAGCCTGATGTGCGGTTCACATTGGTCTACCTAAATAGCTGAAACGATGCTGAAGCTGGTGCAAAGGTGGCTTTTGGCCTTCCAAGCAGAGTCATTAACAGACAAGTCTACAAGTGATCTCTGAACTAGAAAAAAAAATATACTAACAGTATTGAAGAATTTGATGCCTATTATACTGTAGCTACTTAAACTGTACCAGATCTCCTGGATACAACTTTTGACAGCTTTGAAATAATGAAGCACAAACTAGTTTTCAATAGGTTTTTTTTATGTGTTGTGATTTCTTCCTACTGAAAATACTAGTATACTACTCTTGCTCTGCCTTGATACAAATATAGCAGAGGATCAGTACTCCAGTGTTGATGACATCCAGGCCAGGGTTTGCTTATCGTTAAGCTATAACCCTAACACAGTGTAACACTGATAAATGTAGCCAGGGTCATAGAAAGAAGAGATGAATACCATTTACGCACGAGATGAAGGTCTCAATGTAAGTGGCTGCGCAGAATCATAACAGGGACCGTCAATGGCAGCCTTGAGGAGACCTTGAAGCTGCAGCTGCACATCACTATCGAGCTTTGACAGGGCAGCCGCCCCAGCCCCACTAGCAGCAAATGCTGCAGCTGCACCAAACCTCTTCTCCACTTCACTCCTCTCGATCCCTTCCCTCCTCAAACTCCATGTCTGCCTCAGGGTCATCCTTCAGCAGCCCTTGCAATGTCACTGCCTCTGCAGGCAACTCGGTAACCACTTTATCAATAAAGCTACATTCATGGCTAACATTCACATCATCAATTGTCCTTGCCACCGATTCCTCTTCAGGAACCAGTTCTTCTTGTTGATCACCTGGATGGGCCTCACATTTAGCTTCCTCCTTGAACTGCACTTCCTCATGTACCTCAGCAACTTCTTCAACGGGCTGATGATGTTTAAGCTCTTTTTTCTCTGCCAATGGCACATCGAGAACTGGTTGTGGAGCAGCCCCTGCAGGCAATTCGTGCTCCTTCACTTCAACTGCTTGCTCTTCCTTCTTCTCCAATACGACATCAAGAATCCCTTCAAGAGCAGTCTCAGAATCCAATTCATCCGGCCTCACTTCGATAGCTTGTACACTCTTGTCCACCAATCCCACGTCAAGAACATCTTCAGCAGGAGCAACTTCGGCAACTAGATGGTGCTGTTTCACTTCAACAGCTTCTGTTTCCAAGGGAAGCACTTGCGCAACTCCAATAACTTCTACTCCCTGCTTGTCCGGTCCTGCTTCGAGAACTTCAACGGGAGCAAGAGCAACCTCAGCGCCCAGATCATGCTGCTTCACTGCAACATCCTGCACGGTCCGTTCCTCCAACCCCACCACATCAAAAACCTCCCTAGGCGCGCCCGACACCTGCAGGCTCGCCTCAGCACCCACCGCCGCCACAACAGCTGCGGAGGTCAAATCAGGCCGCTTCACGCCGCCACCGGCGTCCTCCCCCTCCTCCAGTCCAGCATCAAGGCGCACCTGCTGAACAGCCTTCACGGGAACCCCCTCCTCCTCGGGCAAGCCCTCCAGCTCCTTCACCTCCGCGACGACCACCGCCGGCGCCTTCTCCGCCTCGACCCACCCCTCCGCCTCCGGCGGCGCCACCGCCGCCCTCCCTTCGCTACGCATCATCACCTCGTCGACCTCGATGATCCTCTCCTCCTCCTCCGCCACCTCCTCGGCGATCGCGGCTGCGGCGCGATCGGTCCGGCGCGGGGGATCATTGGCGGCGAAGAGCGTGGCGAGCAGGAAGGCGGCGAGGAGGGTGACCGCCGCCGTGAGGAGCAGCTCGTAGAACAGCTCCATCTCTCCGGGTGGTGGAAAAGGAAGCCGGTACGGCTTTTTTTTTGGCCCCTTCGCTCTCTCGCTCGGCTGGGGACGGAGCGGAGGGAAGGGGGGGACAGGGGAGAGAGGAAGGGAAAAAGGCGAAGCAGAAGGGGAGAGACGAGGTCGAACGAATCGGTGGGTGGGCGTGGGGGAGTAAAGGGGGACGGTGGGGGCGCCAAAGCCAAAGCAAGGCATATTCGGACGGATACGATCGCCACGAGGGACGCGGGGGTGAGATGGGCGATGGCGAGGGCGGGCGACGCCGAAAAAGTCATTTCGTCTGGGAGCTGCTGCTTGGAGTTGGAAACGAGGATGCCGACGCCGTCAGGCGTCAGGGGATTTCGTGTCATCGTGTGCTCCATGTAGCACGCTTCCCCTCGGCCCTGCCGGCCTCGCGGCGTAGGGACGAGCTACCGGCACCGCTCGCTATGCGGAATTTACACCAGCTGCGCCTGAGTGCACTCATTGGTCACCGCTAACTTGTTAACGAAGAAAACAGTTCAGTACCAACAGCCATATATCGCTGTCTTCGTCGTTAGGGTCAATGGCTATGTATTATGTACCGTACCGTGTAGAAGTACTTCCATGATAAGTTGTCCTAATACACGAGCTAAATTCGTGAAGGGCGCTTATAGATGATAATGGGACATTAATGGCATGTTTGGTTTGCGGCGTGAGGTAATCCGAAATGATCCGAACCTACTACGGAAGCTGTCGATGCTGTTTGGTTTCTGGCATGGAAGTGCCTTGTCCGCCATCTGTTGATTCCCCGTAGAATAAATTGCAAGTGATCGCAGAGGACCGACTCGCTCCGCAAAAAAATGTCGGATGAACCTATTCTATTGTCAGCGGGTCCACCTGATGCTGGATGGAATGAATCGGCAAACCAAACACACTATGAAACTATTCATCGCATAGTAGCAAATAAGAGGTAACCACGTATTTCTTTGTCCTCCACGAGCCATGTGCCTAGAGACGACCTCTTTCGTAGACCATGCTACAATGGCACCACAATTTGATCCCATCGGCTGGTATTAAAGCCGGCTGATAAGCCGACTAAAACTGATTTGTTGTGAGAGAAAAATACTGTAGATAGCTGATAAGCCGACTGATAAGTTCAAGCGAACAGACCGTGATGCGTGTTTAGAGATTACAGGCATGCGTGTTTGGATCTTGGACAAAGGGTTTGATTACCCAGCTAGCATGTCTTGTTTTGTGTTCTTCAATTTTTTCTTGCTCACCTGAGCTAGCCAATTCGGAGGCAAGGCTAGCCCAGCATGATGAGGCAAGGCAAGTTGGCAATAAATAAATCCAAACGCCCTAAACCTAACTTCTAAAGTCTCTAGCCCATTTAGGACCCATTTGGATTGTATAAAATTTCTAAAGGAGAAGTACAAGAATCAAAGATTCCTCCATTTATGTACTGTTCATGGCGTTTGGAACATAGGATTGAGCATACCCTTTCCTATGTAGAAGCACTAAGAGCATGTTGCGATTTTTTTAAAAAAAAAAATCAGTGATCCATGGGCCTAGAAAAAATGGAAAATACAGAAATAAATAACGGGCCACAATTGCTTAGTGGGCCAAAAGGCCCGATTTACACAGTAACCTTACTGGACTGCCATCGGCCCAACTAAGCCCAGCCGGACTCCGTGCACGGAGTAGTACGTGGTAGGCGGGTGGAGGTCAATGCAAGCTGGCAGCGAGTGCCGAAACTTTCCCGTGTCTTGCATGTGTGGTGTGCAAGATGTTATCAACATCTGGATAAATGTGATGCTAATAATAGTTCATTTACTTAAAAAGTTACTAAGTTGTAAGTCTACGGAACCTCCGTATCCTGGTGCGAAACTTCCGCAACGCGGAACCTCCACAACGGAACCTCTGCAAACCGTGCAATCAACACAAATAAACAAATGCATAGGCATGAATATAAGACACTAGTATAAAAGTTCCTTATTAAGAGCATCGATTTAATCTATCTTTATACACATCACACAATAAAAAAATTTATATGTCTCTCTTTTACCTCTTTAGTTCCACATATCAATCTCTCATCCCTTACACTCTCCTAGTATTTTTCCTCCTTTGACATCAATCTCTAAAGAGCATTTCTCCACCAAAAAAGAAGAAATTATGGTAGACAAATGAAAGTAAGAGGAAGGTAAAAGTCCAACATACAAATTTTCGCTCAATTTTGTTCTATCAAACAAAGCACGCAATATTTTAAGTCAATATTCTTGAGAAGTTAGCACATTTTGCTCATACCTCATTTAGACGACACTCTAAACATCTAAACAAATCATGCCATCACCACAAGAGGTACCAATCAAATATCTAACTAATTCTCTAATCGTCACCACAAGAACAAGCTTATGGTGTGACTTGAAATATTGTATTATTAACATTGGTATGTTTCTACATATCCTGTGAAGGGAAGTATATTAGTTAAAACATGATGTCGATACATATGGATTAGTTTCGAGTATTGACTACTCTCTTCAGGTTTGTAAAAGAAGTCGTCTCGTACAGCAACACAAATTCCAAAGCATAACTTTGACTTCTTATTTTTTATAAAAAAATTAATTAAAAAGTAATATATGTATGTTTTATGAAAGTATTTTTTTATTCATATGGGTTACATATTTCCAAACTCAACAACTTAAAAGTTATTCATGATTTATATTCCAATGTTTTGACTCAAACCTTGTTCAAAACGATTACTTTTAGCAACCCGGAGGGAGTACCTGTTTTGGAGAGCACCACTCCCTGATTTAGTGATTACAGGAGAATATGTGAAGAAATGATTCAAAACTAATATTATTGGAGTAATCCTTCCATCCCAAAACAAGTGTTTATCTCGCATCCCGAGAAGTTAATGAATCATAAATTTAACTAAATATATACAAAAATATATTAATGTTTATGATACCAAATAAACATCATTGAATTAATTTGATACACACTTTTATAGTAAATATATTCAGAGATACGAATGTCTATGCTTTTTTCTATAAATTTTGTCAAACTTGAATTTGCTATATATATATATATATATATATATATACACACGCACGCGCGCATGCGCGCGGAGGGAGCAGTGAGAAGCATGTTTTATTTAGCTCTCAGCTCCTAATATATAGTGAAATAATTCTTGTCTGATTCCTTCAAATCAAAATACCTATAAATATTACCACCGTGGATATGAGTGATTTTTCACACCGGCGCTGGTTCACCCGGAATCACAAATTCGCGATCCGACGGCCGCCAGTAGCGCAGGGCAAGTCGGGCTCGAGTAATACTGGGTTCGGACTCAGAATCCAATCTACGCCCGAAGCCTCCGACTCCAAATAAGGACGAACGCACCCGCCCCTTCTACTCCTAATACTAGTAAAGTATCTTGTTCCGCAAACCAGCGCAAACCCTCCCCTGACAGCGGCGGCGACACCTTCGGCGGCGGCGCCATGGTGCTCGAGGTACGACATGCGCCCTGCTGCCGTTTCTCGGTCCGCGAACTCCGATCCCCAACTAATTTCCTCCCCTCGGTTTCGCTTTCCCCTGCAGGCGACGATGATCTGCATAGACAACTCGGAGTGGATGCGGAACGGCGACTACGCCCCGTCGCGGTTCCAGGCGCAGGCCGATGCCGTCAACCTCATCTGCGGCGCCAAGACCCAGGTACCCACGCCGGTCTCCCCGTCCTCCGATCCAATCGCCAGTTTCGTGTGGGTTAGGGTTTCTGGGATTCCGGATCTGATTGCTTCTGTTTGCTGGTGGGTGCAGTCGAACCCGGAGAACACGGTAGGCGTGATGACGATGGCCGGGAAGGGCGTCCGCGTGCTTGTCACTCCCACCAGCGACCTCGGGAAGATTCTCGCCTGTATGCACGGTAAGCTCACATCGATCCCAAAACCTTTGCTTTACTATCGTGTGAGAGGATTTTGCCAATTAGTTTAGAGATTCAGTGCAACTGCCTAAGCTATCTCATAAGTTGTTAGATCATGGTACTTTGCTACTTGTAGTTTCCTGACCAAGTGATGCACAACAATGTACTGTATAGGGTTGGAAGTTGGTGCTGAGGCAAACTTGGCTGCGGCAATCCAGGTTGCTCAGCTTGCGCTTAAGCATCGCCAGAACAAGAGGCAGCAACAGAGGATTATAGCTTTCATCGGAAGGTATGCAGGAGTGGCATAACTTATATGGCCATTATTAATTTTGTCTGAATTTAGGTTAATGAGTCTTGTCATGTGTATCAGTCCTGTGAAGTACGACAAGAAAGTTTTGGAGACAATCGGGAAGAAGCTGAAAAAGAACAATGTTGCTCTTGACATTGTTGACTTTGGTGAATCCGATGATGAAAAACCTGAGAAACTCGAAGCATTGATTGCTGCTGTTAAAAGCAGTGATAGCAGTCACATTGTTCATGTCCCTCCTGGTGATAATGCCCTCTCTGATGTCCTCCTAAGGTAATTTTGTGCCATGTTACTGGGTTCTAAGTTTTCTTATGCTGCATATATGTTAACCTTATTTTTCTATCTTTACCCAGCACTCCTATATTTACTGGTGAAGAAGGCGGAAGCGGTTTTGCTGCTTCCGCAGCAGCTGCCGCAGCTACTGGAGCATCTGGATTTGAATTTGGTGTGGACCCAAATGTAGATCCAGAATTGGCACTTGCCCTGCGGTTGTCTATGGAAGAAGAGCGGGCAAGGCAAGAGTCTATTGCAAAAAAGGCTGCAGAAGATACGTCTAATACCGAAAATAACAATGCCTCAAGCTCAAACAGCGATTCTGTTATGGCTGAAGCAGAACCTGCCTCAAATGCTGCTGCTGGCGACAAGAAAGAACAGCCAAAGGTATTATCACTGTCCATCAGTTACAAACTAAAAATGCTCTGGCCTGCCTCAAATGCTTCAAGTTTTGGTAGTTGTATGTACTCTCATGAACTCTTTTCTCCGATTTTTCATTTAAAATTGAGAGTGCAT